AGGGGGGGGTTAAAGGTCACTTGAAGGTGGTAGATCAATACCAAACCCACATACCTACCATCCCCATCTGGCCAATAGGTATATCCGAAAGATCTAACCCATTCTGACATTTTCTAAGGATCACCCCTAATTCCAGTAGTCCTAATCGAAAATTTTCATCCATAAATATTAGAACTTAATTCAAATTGTATTTAGTATCACGTGATAATAAAGTCATGATTCTTTTAAATACAATCATCGATAAATGCATTATTGCATTTTTGTTATTACAATTGTTGCCAATCGTTTCAACGATCAATTGCCAATAATGATTTCAGGTTATTACAGTCAGATTGTCGATCAACGTTGGTTAAAGCTTCTTGTGCATAATCGTGAGGCTTATCGAAATAAACTGACTAGTCAATGGCAAATTGTAGGAAATAATAAAACGTTGATGATAAAATTTAGCACGTAGGAAACTTTAGATGAAAATCTGTCTGATCGGATATATATTATATATATATATGCGCAGCCCTGAAAACTATACGGTTCGTGATAATAAGTTATGTAATAATACAATAGTGAAGTGATATCACCATACACTTATTATTATAATCTTGCTGAAACGTTGTAACAAACGGTCATGGTCAAGGTCTCGGATGTGCTAATGAGAACCACTGACGTTAGATCATACTCAGCGGACATCAATGCGTTTAAAATTGAAAGTCTTACCACCTTGCTAGTGACTATTGCGTAACACAGCAGAGTTTGCGTCTGTTAGATATATTTGTGTTCCTCGAAAATTTGCGAACGTTTGCCAGGATTATCTAAGAGGAGTAAGCAGATGCCAACTTTAAAAATGTCACGTGCTGCTGAAATTTTTTTTCTCCATTTCTCTTTCTCTCTCTCTTTCCTCTTATTTACGTCTGGTCGCGCCTCTTATTCTTATACTTATTTTCGAGCGTTCTCCCAGGGACATTATTAAAGTCCCAGCCTCGTGACTACGACCAGGCAAACTTAAAAAATATTTCCTTACGCCTGAAATACCTACAAATTTCGCAGAGACTCGTCAAAACTTTTGTATTGCCAATATTTCATTGGACGTATTACTGACCTTAACGACAGAAGCTTCTTCTGCGTATCCTGACGATCAGCAAACTTTATGTAGCAATGCTTACTCAGTAGAATATCAGGTGCTCCGTAAAAGGAGATTTCAACTTCGCGCCAGCGATAAAGTTTTTATCTTTCGTTTGGACGGTAAGTTATTATTTTTTTAAATGGATTAAGTTCATACTTTGATAACTGTTTTCGTCATTTTCCGTAATCTGGACGTTGCTCAGTGCATTCGATGGAATGATTGATGAGAATATCCTATGAAATAAATAATAATGTCATTTGCAATCTGTACTTCATCCTGGAATCCTTATTAACTCACTTACACAACATTTTTTAGAAAGATCCCGGACATGTTCTTGAAAGACGTAGGATGCTTCCTGGTTCAAGCTGCTTCAATCCCAGTTAACGTAACGCGAGAAAGTTATCCTCACATTACCTACATATTCTGTAAGACTCGTATGACTCACCGAATAATTGAAGAGATAAATACTGTGGCTACTGGCACGTATGCTACCTTATCAAATATATTCGCCGTGTTAATAACCAATGAGTATAATGACGTATGAGAAAATTTTCATGTTACGAATCAGAGTCAGAATTAATTTCCATACTCGGAATGGCATTTAGTACGGAATTAGTAATTAGTAGTAAACATAAAATAATGACAGAAGTAAGAATTACGATGATTAATTAAAGGTAGTAAATAAAGATAACAATGATCTTCATGACAATTAGTTTAGAAAGGGAGTTAGTCGTACCACATTTTTTCAGGCATCAGATTATTAATCCAAATCACGATCGGGTCTACCGATGTCATACAAATTTACAAACGAATTTTTATATGTAAATGATCATCAAGCACGTCCGTCACATGTAGGGTAAGCAAAGGTACATTTAACAAATATGGCGTCGAAATGTATGAAGAAGGACAATAGTCAAAACCAACACTTAAATTTTATTTACTAGACAAAGTGTATATTTACAAATATATAGGTATGTTACGTAAAGGCAGAAAATCCTATTAATTAAACTCGATGCAGTCTGTTTTAACTGTAACTCATAAATGTATTAAATGTTGATAAATCATTTCGGGACCAATGCAGTAGTTCTTGAAGCCGCAAGAAGGCGCGTCGATCGATTGTCACTAGTTCGTGTACGGAGACAAAAGTCAGCATAGACCAGAAAGGTTAACGTGACTCGTAATAGCTTTGCAAATTTAAACGGAATATCGACAGCCTATGTACGTACGTCTAGTTTACTCTTTATTCCTCTATCCAACGGGGAGCAACGTACTTCGCTTAGCAACACGTACATGACAAGACCCACTCACTGAGTTGAGAGTTCGAGACTATAGAATAAGATTCTACAAAGTGTTCCTATAGGACTTGGCGGAGCAGCTGTAGATTAAAAGAGTACAGGTAATGTTTTATTAGTTTCTACCGAAAGCCAACGGATAAGATAATAAATTTTACAAAGATCGCCATTGTAATAACAGGTTATGTATCTTGAATGAGTGTAAAACGTAAAACTTTATTCGACCGATCGTAAAGCCTCCATGTGATTTGTTGGTAGACGTGACTTTCACATTTGTAAAATTAGTTGCGCTTCTTCCTTTTAATTAATATTTTTTAACTAGATTTTTCTTCTGGTTATAATGGTCAGTACTGCGCCCAGTCATTTAGATCTTGTGACTCACAGTCAGCAAGGTACATTGCACTTCAGCCTACAGACTGGTAGACCTACTTAGCAGAAGCCCAAGGTTTACAGTTACTGTCTGAAAAAAAATGAGAACCAACAGAAATCTAGAATTGTATAATTTTGAAGTAAATCAATGAAGAGCAACGCCATGCAATGGATTTGATCTTTTATAAGAATATTTAAGCTGACTTTTTCTACAATGATTGCATTTAAAAACAGAGTGAGTAATTAAAAAAATAATTTTTCATTTTCTATTCTTAGTTCATTCCCTCTCGATTAAGCAGTCTGGCAGTACTGATAGAATTACAATTTTTTATGTTCTTTTGAAAATGCAATGGTCGCTTATCATTTTTATCAGACAGATAAGAACGAGCTTCTCAGTATACGACGGGGAACCTTACCTTTCACGAATTGATGTACAGCACTTAGATTATGATGAATTTATCGCATCGTCGTACCTCCTCTCGTGAATTCTTTTGGAACTGATCCACGCATGAGTTACTGCCTATAAGGGAACGTGGCCCAAGAAGAAACCTGTTTTCGTACAGTCATTGGCTAAGAAAATGGACTCTTTTAAAGACAGTAGATCCTCCACGCCAACCTGCTAGGACGAGATACCACGCGAAGCGTATATTTTTATTTAGAATCGATACAAGAACAATGGTATAGAATTAGAAATGAAAAACTAAAGCGAATATACCTGGAAAGAGATAATATCCTGCATATTGATACAATACCAGATCAATAATTCAACACATACAAAGAGTCCGTACGTTCACTTGCATTTATAATTTTTATTTTCAAAAATAGATACGCCTACCAGTAATACCTCTGTCTCCTACTGCTTTAACATACTACGAGTTTTGCCGATGACTATAAATATTACAATCCTTTATATTTAGCAGGACCGAGTCTCGTGGACGACTATCGATTCGAGATTTGAAGATCTAAATATATTCTTAGAACGACGCGGGAATTCGACCCCAGGTTACTATCCACGTTGGTTGCTAAGCAGGAATATCGTGCGGTACAGTCAACCACAGAAGGGCAGATTCAAAAGTGAACTTGAATAACACGTTATTGAACTTTTTTACTTTTCCTCGCTTTCAAAATGTCCGCATACTCTGTGCACTTGACCAACGCATTAATTATATATAATAATTTTATAAATTTCTTATCCGCTCTTAATGAACCTTGTAAACTTAATTAGTTTTATCAACAAATAAATCAAACGATTCAACCGGTGAATAGACGTGGATTGGTGGGAATTAAAAGGAAAAAATCGTCACGACCGACGGCCATGTACAGCATTGCATAAAGCTTGGGCCCATTAATGCAATAGGAAATAGGGTTTTGCTTGCGAAAAGAAAATAAATTTCCTGCACCAGTTTGCAAATGCTGGATTGCTGTCGATTCCTCCGCATTCGATCGGATCGATTGAATCGATTTGATTTGCCGGTTGAGCGACGCCACAGAATTTATTGTTTACGTGGATCCTTATACTCCCTTGTTGTATTATCTGTAACAATGTTCAGAATGTTTTACCAATAAAATTTTTCATACCTACTCGCGCCATTTGCCACCCTCGAAACTCACTTACTTGTTTACTTGTTGTGTCTGCGCTTGGCTTTAGTCAAAATACTTGTTAAAACCCACGGCTGACCTCAGCGTTAACCTCGCCGGTTGCCAGAGATCAGTCGAGCGGACCTTAGAAATCACATGAACCTTCGAGGATAGTCTAAGATAGTTACCAACTGTATTACCTATTACATTTTATTATTTATACGATTATTTATTATAACTATAATTAAATGCCCAATTAAATTGTTACATTGACAAGTCATATGTACACCAGATACTCTTTTATTTTTTTTATGAATAACATGGAATTTTTGTAAAAACATTTTAACAATTAGCGAATCAGTCGGAAATCAGCGAATCGTATCAGAACAGTTATTGACATCCTTGAAGAATCGAGGTCGAGGATTAAAATCTCAATTATTTTATTTTCAGAGAATTCGGAATGTTCATTAAAAAGAGTACTTGTTTCTGCTGTGTCTAGGAGAAATACAAAAAAAACACTTGAATTTGTTTTGTATAGAGTTCATTGTACTCACGTATCTGCTTCTGTTCAAATTTCTCTAATTATACAACTATACTGTATGGTTGACTATGCCAGGTCGTTAGGACTACTCGACTGTACACAAAAAAAGCTCATTCTATACTTAGATTTACGTTGGTACGTTGACACGTCTGATTGCGTAAAACAGGATGCTGTCTTTTGAAAGTTTGTAAAAATTTCAGCAAATCTGTCAAAATGACGTTTCGTCATTCATTAGTCCATCTGTTATCTCTGTTGTCAGCTGCGAATACATATTGTCATTAATTCCTTTGTAATACGAATAAACAGTACCTTTATACAAATACTCAAAGGGTCGATCTCCAATTATTATTTTTTCACTTATAATGAAATTGTATCAAAAAAATAAATGAGTTGGATACTGGCTAGTTATGTAATAATATAAAACAACAATTGTTTTCAAGGAGGATTCCGTCGCTATGATGATATTCGAGGTCGAGTAAATCGGCCCACGACATAAAATAATTTGGTAACAGGTGACTTCCGGCTACCTCGACAGCTGCCGCAATAAAATGATGCCAAGTCAAATAACGAGGAATTTTCCAAAAATTTTCTCGCAAGACTAAGCTTCCGAAGCTTCTGTTACAGCTGAAGCTAGAAATCGCACATTAGACTCTTATGTAACTTATTAGAAAATTTTGTCATAATTTTTGACGTATTACAAAATACACAGCGATTAGAATGTACTTGTTTATTTATTTATTTAATTTTCTCGGCAACGTCTAAGTGCCTGGTACGTTATGTGTACTTAACTAAGCAGCGTGGCTTCTCAGAGAACTCGACAGGAGAAGACAAAAATATCACATAGCCAGATGCATTGAAAATACTTTTTCAGTTTTTTTCTCCATTTTGTGAAAAAGGATCTTCGAAGTACAGTACACGTCAAAACGGCACAGCGTCAAAAATTTGTTCAGACACTTTTCAATATTAGAATAAAAATATGGCTAAAATTTTGTGAGTTACTGTTCATTGGGTTACACGTACACAGTTAAAATAATTTTACGGGATTTCTATCAGGTATGATTAGATATCTGATAACGTTGATATGCATAGTCTTATCGATAAAAAAATATACAGGTATATCTATATGTCATCCAGCCGTTTGTATCAGTTACAAGTTTTAATTTTCAGATAAATCCTTCTCGTTCAACCAAGTAGATAAGGTCTGACGTATGGATACAGGATACAATTTATGAAACATCCTATATAATTGGGTGCAATAATGGCGACTATTTTTATGCTTCCGCTTAATATAGCAGTGCCTTGGAATAAACTTCGAAGAGACTTGGTTAGATTTGCATGGGTGGAAGCATATCCTGCTTTGCATGAGAATGCTCTTCACGCAAATTGCGGATGTATATCTTAGGCATGGATGCGCCATGATTATTCGTACGAGGAATATTGGATCTGATAATAAGAAAATAGAAGTACGTCTGATAAAATGATAAAATGATTTTTCGTAAATTTAAAAATCATCTATACCCTTTGACAGTATTGAAAAGTCAACTACGAGTTTCGATCGAGGAAATGTCTGATAGTCATTCATATAGAATTATCATATATAGATAGTCATTCAGATAGAATTATCATATATCGTAGGCGTCAATCGTGACTCATGATGATTGCATAAGGAGTTATTATGAGATCTTGTCAGATGATCCTTATGTTCTTTCTAGAAAAAAATTTTGAGGTTAGTTTTAGTGTCCGCTTGACTTTAGTTATTTGGTAATACAATTTTAACCTCTTTACAGTATATGGAGTTATCGGTGAATCTCGTCAATGATAATGACAGCTATACCCGTTATTGTTTTTTGGATATCCATAATGGTCACAGGATTTTTCGACTGTGCTGGGCTCTGTGTGCCCAGAGCCCGACGACTCGGAGCAGAAACTATGCAGCTATTTTGGAGCTCGAGGGTTCGCTGTTGTCAGGCCGAGTTTCTGTCCTCTCCCAGTTGGTTAGTCAGAGCCGTTTTCAACTAGAGTCCCTGGATGTCTGGATTCGAACTGCCATATCGAAAACGATAAAAATCATTTCGATACCGTGACGTACGTTTTTATTTTATTTTATATATTTATACGTGGCTACTGACTTTGATTCTAGATATCGGCTGACTCGTGTGCTTAATGGATCGTTTGGTTATTCGAGATAAAACTCCCCAACCTAGACAGGGTCTATAGCTGTTTGGAGGTGGAGGCTCGTCTCGTAGCCTTTCTGTTTAGCTATGTCATTTTCACCAGATGTCCTCTTTTATTTTCCACTGCTAATTCCATCAGGCTCGCAAGGTGGACTGACCTCTGGACGATTTTGTAGAGCGCCAAGACTCCTAGTACTTCCAGAAAAATAAAATTCAAACGTCAGACTCTCCTGGCAATTTCTTTTACATAGTTTCATCATTTGGGAACCTTCACTCGTTATCTCCGTTATCTTTATACTGCAATTCAACATTAAATACAACGTACTGATTGGGGTTTTAATTTTTGATAAGCACTCAAAATTACGTCTACACTAATTTTACTGGTATTATCCATAGATATGATTATTAATAGACATAATGAAGATTAATGGGTTCAGTGGTATCTAAATGTTTACAGTCAATTTACATTAAATCGGCGTTTTAACGGATAATTAAACTTATTAATTTGATGACGTGATTATCGATTAATAAAAGTACCTTGTAGGAGGGCAACCCGCTATACACGGCTGTACCGTGTATAGATGTCACTAGTGAGCGTACTCACATGACATACCATACGTAGGTAAAGTAGAAATCTGTAGTTCAGTATTCGATATATAACCAGCGCTTGATATGGTGAGTTTATTATATCTTTTATGCAGCTAGTACAATCTATAAAATTTGTTCTAATAAAATATATTTCTTTATATTACAATTAAATCAAAATACGTCGCACGTATGATTTTATTTCCAAATAAATTTCTCTCATCGCAATGAATCACATTCCACAAGTTCTAGCTGACGTTCCGATATAACACGAGGGTGCAATTAAACATTTTAGGGTGGCTGCGGGTCGCGTGTCAGTTCAAGTCATTCTAGCCAGCATGACTGAAGTGGGAAAGCATATGGTTTCTATACGGGACACGAGGCCGAAGGGTAAATGGCGTAAGAGAATAATTTCAAGGGTGCTACATTGCCCTGAAATATTTCTAACCTCAATGGTTAATAGTCAAATTGATACACGATCCATTAACGTCACTTGCTATAGTGATTAATTTGAATTTTATATTTAACAATTAAAAACTATAATTTTATACTATACTAACAATAATAACGTGCATATTCAAAACACCCTATACTAAACGAATGTCCCATATAAGATTTTTTTTCGAGATTCATATCGGATTTCAATTTTTTTTTCAGAAAAGATTTCTACAAAAATCCTATAATACGGACAGTCAGATTTATAGATTCCATGGAAACTTTCCCGCCCGCAGCATTTGTACGTCCATGTGTGTAATCTTATGCGGGATACGAGAAGACCGAGGACCAAAACATTGTGAGAAATTCGATTCACCGTGTATAACCGTTCTCACGAAATATGTGGGTCTCTATGCGTGGACTCCTGTCCTTTACCAATAAACAATCAATACAATCGATTCGAGCGGAAAGCGAAGGGGAAAAGTCATACGTATGCTCCAAAATTTCTCACAAGGTAATCCGTGCACAATTTAATTACCATACACCATAAAAGCATATACAAAGTGAAACGTTATTTACGACTGAATCATATATAATAATTTTTCAATTTATTTTTTTCTAAAACACCCGGTACACCAGTGCCAACGTAGGAATGACAGACGGATGTCACATCGTCGGGTTAATAAGGATACTACGTCATTGCATGACGCTATCAAATTTCATCTCATACAATGCGAAGAGATCATTTGACAGAGACATTTAAAAAGAGTTATACAGCTACGTTGAGTTGAATAAATAGTAGAGAAAGGTGCAGGAATGTCAATGAAAATTGGATAGAGAAAAAAGATGGCTGCTATCAAAAGACCAAGGGAAATTTTTCGGAAAATCCTATGGCTTCTCAGTAACGGTGACGACGATGGATAACAAGCATTAGATATGTATTCCTATACTCTTGTCACTGTATCCAATGACAAAAATTAACTACCAGTATATCCAACGATCTGCCAAACTTATGTGACGATGACTAAGTGTCCGTTTCTATTTGTAGTATTCCTGAGGTCTCACGCCACCTCGAGATACGACGTGTGGGACGATGCAGGGCTACCAGTTTTATACGGGCGAAGAAAAACTTTATTACACGATCTTCGTCCTACCCCTTGCCATGGGGGTAACATTATCCACGGGAACAATCCTGGCTAATATTCCATTTGGAGGACCTTACGGCCGCTACTGTTGATACGTGGGAAAGAATCATGGAAATTGTTTTTTTATAATTCAACGTACAAACGAGATTAACGACAAGTGTCAGTAGCGTAGGCCAATTTGCACTGTTAGCCGTTTTGAGCTTAATTTTTAATTTTTTTATTTTACTACGAGGCGTCCCTGTGGCTGCGGCACATGTCAAAGAGGGTCGGAGATGGTACTTTGAGAAATATCAGCGAACGGGAAAGATGCGACATACGTTCAGGAGCGTAGATATAGTAAGGGAACGGAGGTTCCCCGTCGCCTTCGTGCAATTATTCCCAATTGAGTCAATTTAGATCAATTGACGTTAACTCGCTCAATTGGCAGGCCTGCTAGTGCGCTGCGGGCTCACGGCAATACTCACCATCCTGACGGATAAACCAAGAGGGTTCTTTCGTAAGATTCCAAAAAGGGATACACCGTTTTGGTTATGCGATCTACCGAAATAAATTTTCTTCACTCGTTTATATTAAACCATGAAATTTTTATTGCGAAGTCGATCGAATTTTAATTATAAATATGACAATGTTTGAAAGAATAAGATTTTTGTGGTACGAGCTCTTGTTTCTTAAAACTTAACTACGTGGAGGTCGTTGAACCGAAGTTTTTGTATTTTAATAGAAATTCGTGGACGTTTATAAATTTTAGGGTATCGCTGCAAGGATCGCTTTTCAATTTATTAAATTTATTCTTAATTACTGTTTAAATACCTTATATAGCATTTTGTAATGGTCTTTATTATTAAATTTGCAGACAGGTAATCCCTGGTTGAATTCATTGAAAATATTTAACACGTCACTCGGATTATACGAGTGTGAAAAATCTTAAGCATTATCAACTACTATGATGGAAGGGAAATAGGAGGAGTCAGGTATGCGTTAGTATCTCCCACTCGTGAGACTGAGGTGGGGATGGAACATAGCTGTCACTTTTTTCTTTCTTTCCCTACACTATATTACAGTCATATACAGTACGAGTGATAAGTGCAGATCCATATACGTACAGAATAACAATAATGATAGGAATTCGATAAAAAGACTAATTCCAAGAAGTGTCAAAAATATTCGTGTCTCTGTTTGTCGAATTACATATAGTAAAAAAAGAACTAGATTTTTTCACAAATAAGAATACCCGCGCGACACGAAAATCACAGAACAGCAGATTGTTTATAATAAAACGAAGAAAAAACAACTTTTCACTGGCACATCACGTTATCCAAATAATCCAATGAACAGTTTAGAGTATCGACGAGCCCTCGGAGTAGTTCGGCAGTTCTCGGTAGAGTTCGGATTTTCAAATTCGATATGGCGCGAACACATCATTATTTGAAAACATACACGGATAAGGATCTTTGAGCGTTAACGGAAACCTGACGTAGCACATTGGTAAGATAATTAAACACAGATCGTAAGAAATCCCGCGAATAAGAAAGTTCGTCGAAGAGCATGGTGATGACTTCCGGTATAGAACGTGAAATTTTTTGTTTAAGGAACCAAAATAACGAGCGAGGGTCAGTGCAGGAGGCAACCCGGTACTGCAGTCTGCCATCACCGGACCTTCACTTATATCGTCGCTCGGCTAATAACGCTAGTAATGTGATATGATTAGCTTAGTTGAGTTCAGTTTAGTTCGTATTCGTTCAATTTAGTGGTTCGTCGGCAAAATCACATCGAGTTAAACCCATTTAGGCCAGTTAAGTTGCCGACTTCGGTCCGGTACTCGTTCCTATGCAGATCTGCAACCCTGAGGTTAGCTAGAGAAATCGAGATTCGAGTATCGATATATCGATCTTAGTTCACTGAACTGTCGAACGGCAGATCCGCCATGTTGATTTGGTGAATAAAGGTTGGTAAAAGATTGTAAATATCTTGACAGATCTTATACGTATTTGGCAAACCTGATTGATCGAAAGTATAACAATAATATAATTATCAAACTCTTCGTTAAGGCTGTTTACATGTGATATACAGAGAGAGCAGTGTTATCGATGATTTAAAAAGGAATAAAACTAACCTTTAAGCGAGGAAGGATGAGTATCGCCGCGCATTCGCGGACCAATTAAATCAGCGCGCTTGACGCTAATTAACGCGAATGAAATTAGCAGTTAATACGCGCGTACACATGTGAATGGGGGTAGTTTGATTGGGCCAATTCGAGGCAATTCCTGGCGATTGCTGGTTTCATTGAGGCTGCGCTTAAGAGCCTCAGTGCCATGCTGCCGGTCAACGGACATGGATCGCTTCGACGTGTATTTGGTGTTGTCTTCCATTGACGTGTATCGGAAATCATTATATCGGAAATCGCGATCGATCGATTATCGAGAGTAGGTGTGATCGATTTCTGTTTTTTAGAAACACGTGAAACCTGGGTTATGTAATTCGAGGACTCGATGTGATTCTACGTGTGCGACAACCGGAAGCACGCGACTTCGCAAAACGGAAATGACTTGTGTTGCTGTTCAGTTGGTACCTGACTTTTAAGTTTCGTTTAGGGCATCGTTCTTATTTTTTTTATTTGAAATTAATGTAAGCAATATAAACTAGTGTTTTACATGGATTATATTATACCTAATGCTGTTATATGAATATTGTCGAATGATAAGAAAATTTCATTAGGATTTGGCACTGATTCGATTAAGATAAGCGGTTATGATTTTTGAAAATTTTTCAAAATTCAATCCACAGAAACGACGTGTTACGCAAGGGAGGATATTTGTATAATAATAAATGATAAAAGCGTAGCAAAAATTTTGTAAATAAAATATGTATTTCAATGAAACGAATAATTGTGTATGACAAATATATGTCTGGAATTGTGTGAGGAATTGCGGGTGTACGAAATAAAACTGGAATTGACGATATATGCTATTATTGAAATTCCTTAATTATTTATATACCATTACACGATTAATTATCTATAAGAATATATTACGGGATTACCTTACAGTAATATACTTCTCCGTAAGTAATTGTACGCGTATCAATAATACATCAGTTTTGCTATTATACGGATACGCATCTTCGTGACTGATAAGTACGTAAATATAAATTAGAAAAATTGCATTGAATTGAGATGCAGAAAAAAAAAGAGATATTCTCACGGAAAGCTGAAGCGAAAATTTGGCCATGATCTCTCGAAGCATCCCTCTCCTAATTCTCTCCCCCGATCTTTGGCATTGTCAGTTTCACTGTATCATTTCTATTACCAAGCTTCCTCCCTCTTCTACCGAGTGAATTTTTCCACCATTGGAGCAATGCGACAAAAGTCACGAAGCAGCATAGAAGCCGGCGATAGCATCAGAAAGCTGCGAGTCCCGAAGAGAGGCTGGTCTCGGCCCGCATATCGCTGACCAATCAGAAGCAGGCAGCACCGAAGGAGACACGCCGATTGGCCGGTTCAGTAGTGTGGGGGCAGAACCCGCGGGTCTCGTTAAAATATAAATGTGTGTGAGTATAGAATGATTAGCTCAGTTCGCCGATGAGACGAGTGACCGTACCGGACGGCACTCCGCGACTGCAGGATCAGTCGAGCAGCAAGGTCCGGCACAACTAGTTCACTTCGTTAACTTCGGTTAAAACTAATCAAAATTAATCATAACCGCAACAATTGATCGCAATTGGTTCAGATTCCATTACGCGGTGCGGCAATCATCCTCATTTTTGCATAATTGCTTAAGTGAACACCCCTCCCGGGCAGTGCACCAAACCCCAAAAATCGAATCCACGTCGCTTTTCACTTTGACGTCGAGCCACTTGGAACCTTCACCTGTACGTGGTTGAGAGGTTTGACAACCACCAACTAGCCCACCTGGATCCTCATATCAACTTCACCATGGAGGGTGGACCGTTCGACGATCCGATCTTTTCTGACTTTGGTGGCAGGGGTGGTACTGGAGTTCATAGTATCCAAGTTATGCTGGGACTCCATGGTGGTCATCATGCTGGTGACCTTATGCCACCCGGAGGTCATCTTCATAAGCTCGATTCATCGAACAGTCCTCCGCCTCATCATCAAGCTACACATCATCATCTTCAGCAGCAACAGCAACAGCAGCAGAAGGAGCTCAAGGAACTTGAACTTGCCGGCATGTACGCACCTCTTCCTCAGGCACAGGACGTCACCACGTCAACGTCCACACCAGCTACCCCAACCTCCACGACCCTTCAGCAGGGATTGCAGATCAGCAATTCGTTGAAGAGGAAACCTGATGATCCTATGAACGCTCTTGCTCCAGGTATATAAAAACAAAATTGGTTTTTTAATAATTATTGTCTGATTTACGTTTTTTGATTTGATATTATTATCTTGCTTAATTTTTCATTTAACCTTACCTTCAGTCTGTGTCGTGTCGTAGTTGAATTTCTTGAAAAATCTTTCAATGGCGATACATAAATCAATCTGGATATAGATAAACAACCGTTCTCGTCCCCTCCGCGATCTTCTGTAATAATCAGTGTAAATCAGGAACAAATTGATGACTTAACTAGCTAAACAACTCTAATTGCTCAATGGCCATACATACTCCAGACTGCAGTGTATCGCGGAACTTCTGGAAGTTCAGATAGGAAGACTCGAGACGAGCTCGCTTGTGACTTGAAATTGATTGGGATTCGATTAATTAGAAATCAAAAAAATGAGTGTCATGGGAACAATGGATGATATAAAAAATTTGTTCGATATACCAGATTGAGAAAAATATGAAACTACGATTTGGACTTTTTACGTCAAATTTTGTTTCGTTCAGTGTCGAACGTTTTTGTGCGGATTTTATGTTCTTAAATGATACGTCAAATTGATTCGGTACGAGTGGATAAAGATTAACGTGAATTTGGTGACTTTTCAGTGAGCAATGAGACTCAGCCTGCCAAAAAGGATTCGAAAAAGAAGACTGATAATAATGGTATCAAGAAAAAGAAAACCAGGTGTGTATGATTTTCCTCATTTGTTTTCACTAGTGAAATTCCACTGCTACGGAGGAATTGAATTCCACGTGTACGTAAAATTTGGAATTAACATGAGGGTCCCCTATAGCGCCGCATGCCTTCACTTTTTACCGCGATGGTCACGCAGGGCTAAATTGTTCGACAAGACGTAGACGACATGTGGTCAGTTGAACTTTTTGTTACGTACGAAATGGAACATTTAGATCTTTTCGATAAGCTATTATCATACAGACCCGTTTTATTGTCTAATATATATACTAATGCACTATAAAGGATGCCATAAGACCGTTGGCTGTACTTATTTTTTTATATTAAAAAAAAAGAAATTCAAACCCCCAGTCTGCTTTTTATGAACGCGAATATCTAGAAAATGAAATTGGGTCGCGTTACAGCATTCAGTTTGGCATCATCTGCAGACGTGACCTTGATATTAATCTTGATTGACCTTAGTTTGACATCCACTAGCTCATTCGACGTGTGTAATTTTTTAGATTTTCAAAATCTCAGAACCCTGTGAAAAGAAGACGATAAGTCGGACTCAGAAGATTTGATAAAGATAAAAAATGTCTAGGTAGTAAAGAAAATTAATTTTCAGAACAACCTTCACCGCCTACCAACTAGACGAACTAGAGCGAGCCTTCGAGCGCGCTCCTTATCCAGATGTATTTGCGAGGGAGGAGCTGGCCCAAAAGTTGGGTCTGTCGGAATCTCGAGTGCAGGTCTGGTTTCAAAATCGTCGTGCAAAATGGCGCAAACGAGAGCCACCGCGCAAGACAGCTGGTTACATGACGACAGGTTCAGCCAGTCCCAGTTTGACAGGATCTTTCACGTCTCTGAACAACAGCCTGAACCCATTTACATCGCCAACGACGGCGGCGGCACCTCCCGACGCTTGGGCGTACTCAACACCCTACGACTTGGCGCCTCATTTGAATCTTCTGAGTCCATCCAATTCACCTTACTCGAACTCTTTCGGTGGTCCAAGTAACAATGGTTCTGCGTATTCATACGCCACCATGTTACCCCAGCACGACACTTCGCTCTTCTCAACGCCGTCTGGCAACACCATGCGCGTTCACCAGGATTACATGAACGCGAATAATAGCCCACCGCCACCTTTGACCCGTGGTGACTATCAAACAATGGTTACCACTCACTCCCCGCCAACTCATCTGGCTGGCTCCATGTCGGAGGACGAACATCAGCAGAATAAACAGTTGGATTACGTAAGCGGTCTAAGCCCGGCAGAAAAGTATCAGCACGATCAGGCTGATTATTCCCAGCAGCAGGACCAGAAGCAAGAGTACGGTATGCATTCGCCACCCGGACGTCAGGGTATCAAGGATCAAGTTCTGATCAAGAGCGAACCGACAAGTCAGCAGAGTTACGTCCAGCTGCCTCCTTTTTTGAACTGACTCGAACCCTCGGGTTCGGGTCTAGATTTTACAGTTGACGCTCTACGTGTTACGTACTCTTGACAGTACTTTTATTCAGACGTTATCATCCCGTACGATACTACTGATCGATAACTCGGTAATTTTACAAATTTATCCTACCGGAGAATTGAGCGTGAGTTTTTTCTTCTTCTCGAAGACGCGAAGCTCCTATTGGATAAATTTCATTTTTAAGCTAATTTCGTTCGCCACGAAGTTCTTTACTGAATTCTTATTGTCGATCTTATTATCGGTCAAATGATATGTCGTCTGCCAGTGCCTTATCAAAAGTGCAAGGATCGGAGTTACCGGTTTTATCGTGCCTCGCGAGAAATTGAGCGTTGCAATAATATTTCATTCTCTCTTTACTCTTGTCTTATAGTTTATGCATTTCGTTCTGTAAATTAGTTAGCGTTACGCCATTACAAGCTTATGTTAGTGGGCATTTCTCTTTTGACTCTCCAGCTGATCTTAATGATGAATATTAAAGTATGTTTTAAATTTATTCATTACACTTTTTTTTGTACTTGCTTTTAGTTGTACAATTACTATTCATTTATGCTCATAATAGATTGTAATGATTTGGTTTGGTAGAAATAGTCGTTTTCTATGCTGCTATCATTCCAAAATGCTCGCTATAGTCATCTATGCCAAAAAGTCTACTGATAAGAAATAAACTTATGTGAAATTCTATTACTGTTAATCAATCCATTCGATATGATTCAAAATCATTCGTACACGGCGTCTCAACGTGCCTTAGCAGTATAATTATGAATCTTAATAAAAGTTATGTCCCATTTTGTATTGTATACTCCTTTTTAATAAAACTTAGAAGAGATACAACGTGAATCGTAGAATAACTGTAGACCTTTCGTTCTTGAAAAATCATTGAGAACTCGTTTTATCTTTTATTCATTTTCTCTTTTAATACTGACGAATCTCAGATATCACTCAAAGGTAGAGGAGCTGATGGGAATTATCCAAGATCATTGAATACAGTAACTATTAAAATGATAAAATTCTATCGTGTATTATACAAAAAGTACCAATGGTTTAGCCATTCGAAGCATACTTTAATTTATGAAACCATTTTTTATGCTCCCATACTCATGACCTATAATTTATTTTCGAATTCGTTTCTTCTGGTACCTCAGGAACTTCAACGTAATCGTGAATAACGTCATCATTGAAACTTTTTGGATCCATAGGCAATCCATCCATAGATAAAGAGGTATGTGTATCGTAGGAAAACGATTTCTTCGACACACGTGACTGAAAGTTTGGCATATCTTCTGTCCAAACGCCGTCTCCAGAGAAGTGATAATCCTTCTCCATGTAATAGATAGCCAAATTTAAAACATCATTGGGAGATAATGAATCAACATCAGACACCTTACATACTCGTGTTTTTAGTATAGCAGCCTGGATGTTTTTTCTGAAACATCAAATGATACATAGAACTAGCTGAAAGTTTAATAGCGCACAATCAGAAATGGTGTTATTGAAGTAATTAGACTAAGAGAGTTTGATTAGAATAAACAGTGGTCTTACAATGGGTACAATAGGATGTATAGACTGTCGAAAATTTGTTGCTTTGTATAAGTCTTGCTAAGATACTGGTATACTTTATGTACCGACTCCACGGGGATATAACGCCAATTTGGATGCTTTGACAATTTCTCTTTCAAATCCCTTTTGTTCCGTGCCAGTTTCACTTCCAAGTAATACAATACATCTTGAAACTTTGAACTATCCACTCTTTCCTTTGTAAATCTGAAGAATGATGTATAAATTATTAATTTTGGTATTTAGTGCTATGTTGTAGATTTTAAATTTGAAGATATTAGTACTTTTCGAAATATTGTTTACTACTCAGGAGCGTTTGAAGACTAGCAGGCTTCAAATTTATTTCTCTAAGATACTCGAGACGTAATTGTGTTGAGTTTCGATAGTGAACCAAGCGTAATATTTTAGGATGGTTGATCAGTATACTGAATTGTGGAGTGTCCAATACATCCTTAAGTCTCTGCTTCACCGTGTCAGTACTCAGTGTAAATATTTCTGGACATTTTTGTATAGATATATCCGGGACTCCGAAAGATTTTATTACTTCCACTGTCTCTAGTATTTTCTCCACTTTTATAGTTAAAAGTTTTGGACATTTTAAATACATTGAACGTATATCTAATCCAGCTAACGTTTTCATTGCCAGTCCTCGTTTTACATTCTCAACATTACTGTACAAAAGATAATTGTGCTTTCGTAACTGAAATGTGACAGCGATAAAATATATATCATTGTTAATTATACAAAATTTTGATTTCCTAGATTTGAGAACGTAAGTGAAGATACGTACTCTTGATAATGATAATCCTACTTCATCTTGTAAGAATTTGAGTGTTTGTTGCATCAGAGTAAAACTCTTCAACTGCAATCTTGGATATGCAGATAAAGACTTTTGTAACTCTTCTTCTGACATATGAAATGTAACACGCATGTAATATCGTAAACACTCTTTGTAGCATTCCTTTACAGTCATAATCTCTGATGTGTGTTTCATATATATCTCTTGTGGTGGGTTTTTAAACAAGGTTCTCAATAAGTTTTCCGCAATATTCACAGATGGATTGATTCTGACATATGCTTTAAATATATCGACTGGAAATTTCATCATCAGAATAAAGCTGAAAGTATACCGGTTTAAATTCAATTCCTACAATCCTTTTATAGTATATAATCATATGAAGTATTTTAGAAAGTTAACAAAAAAGGAAAGTGGAACTATCAACTAGATTAACTAATGGAAAACTTAGAGCAAATATTAACGGTACACTAACTTTCTTACAAAGTCTCCTTGTACAACAGGTACACCGAATTCCTGAAGGAGAACAATTCTATGACGCAGAATAGATGGATGTACCCTTAACACTTCAGCATTTATTAAACACGATTCTTCGCTATCATTCACCTCCTAGAAAAACAATGTTACAAGTGTATTGTACACAAAATATAAACAATAAGCTTATTGTTTCTTACTCACTGAAATCTTAACTTACTTTAAATACTTCACAGGAGTCAATAATCTGATCTTTGGGTATTAGTAATAGACGATTATGTCGTCTCAAAATTTCTGCTGCTACATTCTCTGAAATCTTGAGACTGGACATCAAAATGTGTTTATATTCGTCAGTATTTTTTGAAGATAAATTACAAAAATGGGTTGGATAAAATGTCAATTGCTTCATCGTATTCCGAAGAAATATACAATTCCTGCATGTTCTTGCAAATTTGAACATTTTTCATACTTCATATCACACTACGTTTAATGCACAGATTTTTATTATGTTATGTTATATGCTCCTTAAATGTAGGTTATGTCACATTATTTTAACACTTCTGTCAACGCCATCTGTACTTCCCATGATCGCCTAAAGCCGTACGGTTGCGCATCTCCCTGCTCATCTTTGGTTTTACTCTCCAATTATTCGTTTATCGTATCATTAAAATTTTTTTCTTTAAAGTATACAAATACATAAGATAAAAAAACATATTCCTTTAGAAAGAGATTTATTCAAAATTACACAATGCGATGTACGATAACAGTTGCTCAATGATTGCGGAAGCAAATCTGTTAGTGGAATTCTATGATTATAAGTCCTTCAGGTAGAAACTGTCTTGATATAACATAACGACCATGTCAGAGGGTATGTTTCGTAACTCACTGCAAGTGCTGCGAAAAATGTCGTAATTTTCTCAGACACATTATGGAGAAAAAAAATATACAAAAATGTTTGGAGTAGTTGTACCAATTTGAGAAACACACTCAGAATAGAGATAAAATTTATATGTCAGTTGGTTTGATTCGCAAAATCACAGGAACACTAGTACAGGGAAGAATGGCTAATTCAGTCACAACAGCTGTAACTAAATCAGCTGGGGTGACATCATATGTCAAATTCAAAAGATTCAATGACTTTTTAGTCCTCCAGTTAGCCAGAAAAGACTTCTTTGAGTTGTGAAGAAGATTGTGTGTGAGCTCATCAGCATCACCTTGAAAACCAAATGAAAATTGTTATAATATCATCTTCTGTAGAAGATATATAATCATTCATGTATTTTCAAAAAAATAGTGGTTTACCTATTTCGTTATAAACGATTGAATCTGTTTGGACTCGCTCACAAGATTTGTGTGTTTCACAAGCAACCAAAACTGGTATATTAAAAGCTTTAGCCATAAGGGCTACCTGAGCTGTGCCAGCTCTAGACATGACTGCTCCATTGGCTAAAATAGCGTGAGCTCCAAGAAAAACTTTGCTAACCTAGGAATTAAATATTACTTAATGATCCTGCAATGCTATTTTTTTTAAATGGTGAACTAACCTCAGGCATTATGAAGCTCAGAGCATTTATTAATATGTAGGAACACTCTATTCCATGTTTTGCCAATCTTCTCAATAGTTCTTTTCCTTCTAGCCATGGTCTTCCATCCACGATAACTACTCTGAACTGTCTACCAATTGTATGTGCATCACACAATATTTTGTGAATTAGCGAAGAACTGAAAGATCATAAAAAGTGATATATTTCTTCATACATAAACTAAATATCAACATTATGTTATTTACTTACTATCCATATGTCAGTATAACATCTCCATTTGAGATTTTTGTTTGAATTGTAATCGATATTGCTTTATCAGCCAAATGAATTTGTTCTTGTATATACGTATCTATAGCATTTCCTAAGACAGTCTTGGCCTAAAGAAATTGAAAGAATACCATGAGAAAATACCTAATAATAAAATGTTATAAATACACTCACTTCATTATCAGATATAGTAGATGGCAGTCGCGTCATCTGTCCCTTGATATGCTTCAAGGCATTGTGCATAGAAACGGCAAGTGGTCTACAGTGATGTAGATATGCAACACATTCCTGTAAGCTTGCTTCCAATCCTCTAGTAAAGTCAGCTTGCGAAGGTCTTTCAAAGTCCTTAACAAGTTGCTGAACAGCAGCTAGGAGAGCAACACATCTAGCATTACTGCCTACAATAATTTTGTTTGCGTATTGCACCCCAAGCCTGACTATGGCTGGATGTATATTACAGTTTAATGTTGGTACATTAATCAACGAGGATTCTCTGCTGGGATAAAGATGCTTAAAAAGATTAACTTCGTGTGGATTCTCTTTAATTATAGGTTTCCTAACAATCTTCTTTCCCAACTCACTTATCTTCGATGCAGACTCAATTGACTTTGGTGATTCTACTAATTTTGGTTTATTTTTTTGAGACAGTGTCGCCTGCTTTGCAGCTCTTTGAGCCTCCTGTTTCATTCGTCTTTCAGCACGCAATTCGGCTTTACTTTTGCCCTCGGTACTCGCTTCCTGTTTTACTTCAGGTGCACTTTCTTTAACTGGCACACTTGGGACTTTTTTCGCTTCGATCCTTAAGACTTCCTTTACTACTGGAGTATTTTCAATTTTTACTTTCTCAGATTGTACAACTATCTTCTCGACTTTAGCTGCATTCTTTGCAGTTTCTTCCCTGACTTCTTTCTTTTCCAATTTTGTTTCCAGTTTGGCTTTTGACTTGGCTGCAGCTTTTGCTGCCTTCTTTGCCTCGCGTTCTGCCTTTATTTGCTCTCTTGTCTTCTGTTCAGGATTCATTTTATTTTCTACAACTACAGATGCTGGCAATAAATTATTTTTAATGTCTTTTATGAATTTGTGATCGATTTGATCTATGGACTTTTGATTGTTCGGTTTAACAGCAAATTCTATAATTTTATCGCTATTCGGACGCTCTCGAACGTTAATACTAATTTCTTCCACTTGCTTATCATTAATATTGGATTTGCCAGAATTATCGCTCACAGTTTTAGTAGTATCAATTTTTTCAGATTCTACTAAATGTTCATCCGCGTGATGTCTGTCGCCATTCAGGTCAACGGATACTCTATGATTGTGAGACTCTTCCTTAGTCGATGAGACTTTCTTTATATTCTTCTTGCTAGAAGTGACTTTAATATCCTTACTAGGATTTTCTTCTAACTTATTATTTAACAATGATAAATCATTAGAACAACTTTTAACATCATTCACTTCTACACTGTAGAAATTCTGGGAGTATTTATTATTCTCGTGAATGAGAATGTTGATTGAGCTGTCACAGCAATCCACGGACTTTGAATTGTCCGAGTCTGAAATACTACCAGATGCCTGATTGGGATGCTTAAGTAAATCAGATTTCTTTTTATTCCTTAATCTTCGTCCTTTTGATTTTGTCAGCACTTCCGTATCACTTCGGTCTTGGCTTCTATCGACGGTTCTCTCTTGTGTAAATCCGACACTTGCTTCTTTGGAAGCATTTGATAAATTATTTTCAGCAGCTCTGCGTGCGAGGATCAACCGCTTTCTCCGTAGATGTCTTGCCTTAGAGCGTGTAATCTTTCTTGGCTCTACGTCGTCGAATGACTAAAAACGATATTACAGTACGTGCTTTTAGAAGTGGCTGAAACAGGAAGTTTGGAGGCAAGGCCTGTATTCATATCGTTCATTCTCTTTAGTATAGGGATGCCTTTGTAGGATTAATATAATAATTGAATCTAGATGATCACCTGAAACTACGGGTGAATTTTATAAAGGATATGTGTACAGACGAAGGAGATTTGATAAAGTAATGACCCATGCCTGCTGCATATTAAAAATTGTAAAATAAATGGAAGCAACTAGAGAATTAAACGTTTGAAATATTTGTAAAGCTTTATGATTTGGATAAAAAAAATTAAAAATTTAGACATTGAAATGGTTTAGGCACGGCGTACATTAGTTTTTGAAGTATATGACAAAGTAATTAAAATAATTTTAAAATAATAATTTGTACTGTATTTATAACTTTTTTGGCCTAGTCTATAACATTAAGTAAATAGAGCCCAAAGTAGAATATCTTTATACAGATATCTATTAGTCACAACATGCAAAAGATGACTGAAAAGATTGCACACCATAAATAAATTTAGAAAGTTTTACTTATCGGTCAGTACTATTATCTACTACACGATAACATACTTAACTACATTTTCAGGACAGTGGCAAAAGTATACCGATAAGTCAAACTCACAATTTTCATTCTGGTATAATTTTATACAATTTGGTACCTGCTGCTCCATCGTCACTGTATCAATGCTTAGACCAGGGACATAAAATGTATCCAGCTAGGAAAACCAATATGATTTTAAAACTCACATTTACTATTAATGATTAATTGAATAAACAATTATACAAGTTTCAATATTGTACTATAAAATAAAAACTAAATATGCCATTACAATCAAATGTTAATTTGCGTAGTTTAATATTATAATTTAAAAAATTGCTGCCTAGTATAAATCCTTTGAAGAATTCTGTTATAGCTGATACAATATTAATCGAAATATATTTGTAAAACTAGGCATTGCATGTACAGGTAACCTCAATTTTAATAAATCTTAATCATTGACAAATAAATATGAAATGACATCGAACACCGTGAAAGCTTATTCCAAATATATGCCATTTGACTTATTGCATATCTATTTGTAAAATTATTTCTGAATTCTGTTCCAAGTAACAGTATAGATCCGTTACAAAAAAATTAACCTGTCACATTGATTTTGTTTCCTGGCTCAGAAATAGCAACCGCCACACTATAATGAGCTATACATGTAAATTATAAAATTATAGAGATCTCTCACCTAATAAAATTTTCAATAGATCACTTTCTTTCTGTGTCTCGATTACTTCAAGTTTTCCTAATATTAATAGGAAAGTTTGCGCATATGTTCGACAAAGTTCATCGCCATGTTTTACGATATTTTTCCCCTACAGTATTCTTTGCAGTTGCTTTATTCTCAAAACTTGTTTGAACAATTTTACTCAATTTCTGAACACTTTTGTTTATATAACGAAATTCAAGCTTCTTAAAAATGTATGTATAATCCTTATTAAATTCCAGTACTGCTTAAAATTTTATGCAAGACCAAGAATAAAAAATAAGACATTACTTTTACACCTTCTTTGGCCTGACTTTGTAATTATTCTTTTCTTCAGGGTAAAATCAACAAAGATAAAGTACTAGTTTGTTATAGTTTTTGTCATTTATTTATACAATAAAACTTATGGTGTTTAATCACTTCTTTTGCGCTGCAGCAGCTTCATCCTCACGCTGATAAGACTGTAGGAGCTCTTGTTTCTTCATGGCGATACGTTCGGCCCTACGTTTTCGTGCCTCACGAACCTTCGTACGACGAGCCTCAGCCTGATCAGAAAGCATCTCTGCTCTTGCTTTCTCTGCCTTCTTCTTATGAATGAATTCCATCAGGACTCTCTTGTTCTTGAACACATTACCCTTCGCCTTCATGTATAGGGAATGGTAAAGGTGCCTGTCGATTTTCTTAGTTTCACGATACTTCTTCAGAAGACGTCGAAGTACCCTCATACGTTGAATCCACAAATCCTACAATAAAGTACTTTTTGTAAAATTGAAAAAGAGCATTGTATTGAACAATGCTTTTAATAATTTTTTTTTATTATTAAACATTATTTATCTTACCTTTTGTGGAGTACGAGCATTCGCAGTACCTTTTCGTTTACCAAAACCACAATGACGTCCTTTACGTCTGGCTTCAGTGTTCTTACGCACACGAGCCCTAGAGTGAACAGCGACAGGCTTCTTAATGATCAAACCATCCTTAATAAGCTTGCGGATGTTTTGGCCTATTAAAAAAAAATGAATAAAAACAATGTTATTAGGCTAAACAAAAATGTAGAAACACCGATATAAATTGTAACAGAAGTATATCATGGAAAAACATCAACACTATAAAGTTAATCGCAAACCTTGTGTGTATCAGATTACTCTTTCATTTGATAAGTCTCAAAATTAAGGCAGTCATACTCTTTAAATATATTACGAATACGTTATGTACGAAATACAATAAATAAATACTTACGAGAATTGGTATTAGCGATCTCATTGATTTCATTAGGATCTAGCCAAACCTTCTTCTTGCCGCATCGCATTACCGAGGCTGCTAGCCTCTTTTGTAACTTTAAAGAACTGCAAACAAGAAAGTGGATGTTATATTACGGAATACTTTTCGAGTAACAGAAATCATATTCAAATTTCTCGTTGTATGTAAAAAGGCTAAAATAGTGGAGTCAGTGATAAATGAAACTTCAAATATTCATCACATCGTGGATATCCGACATCATGCCATGTGGTCACTATCAACACTTTGGAACAGAACGGTTCTAGAGCATTATTCATTGAATCCACGTGAAATAAACTTTACTGATTGACACTGTGATGTTTATTATCTCACACAGACGACATAAAAGTACTTCTGGACGATACATCCAGCCAAAACTTAAAATTTCATAGGAAACATATACCTCATGACGGAGCCTCCGAGTCCTTCGTGGTAAAGAAGAGCAAGATGGTCGCTCCAATACTTCCTTATTATCGTACTCAAATTAAATACTAGAATCGGCGAAAATAAACCTCAACAAAGTTTGATTAACTCTAAAATAATCTTTAAAAATGATTACTAATCCGATTATTTATTTATCGTCTTACCATATAAATAATTTATTATAATACTCGCTTGACTTAATTTACTAAATTCCGTTCCTCTTTCGTATACATCAGTACAACCATCTCCGGTACAACCAAAGAATAACAGATCCCCGCGCAAATAAAATAATATTCCCACAAAAGTTGAATACCCGTAAATGAAACAAGAAACATATTCTTATTAAACAAAGTATTATGCAGTCAATGCATTCCGTTATAATATCCCATTTCCTATTTACATGGATTAAAAATCAAAGAATTGGTGCCCCAAATGGAACGTCATAAGAGGTATACTAGAGTCGTTACTGACAGCGTCTATCTTTACTATGTTCGGCGGGTGTCGCGCGCATTCTCTTTATTTTTTCAAACGCTTCAAAACTTTCGACATGACATTACCATAACGTAATGATCTTTTATACGATATTTGAACTTAAGAGAAGTAACTCCAGTGTACAACGTCTAATAAAAATATAATGAAAAAAAGAAATCATCAGTAGTAGCTCGACTGCGTTGTTAATCTTTTAGCAATCACTTTGCCATTTGAGTTATGGTCAGTAAATCAATTTAAAAATTTGGTGGTCAGTAAGATAGGCCTACGAATAGTAATGTATCATTGTTTTATGTTAGATGAAAGCCAGAGGTATCATATTTAGTAAAAAAAAAATAATGGCCGTTTTTCTTTTATTGCACAAGTTGACACGGATGAAGACAATTCTTTTAAATACACTATGCTATTGGAGAATTCTGTTAAAACCAACCAATGAGGTGTTGGCTCTAAGCGACGTGTGTGACTGTTGATTTGTACAGTAAGAAAAAAAAAACGCCCAGTCTCTTCTTAAAATTACATCGTGGTGATAACGTCTCCGTCAGTCTACCACCTTGTCAGTGTTACAGGTCCCCCCATTTGGGGTACTGCCATAAGGAAAGGAAGAAAAGAACTTGTTGTCAGGCCGGTTCTGAGCGTCGTAGTTTAAAGGTTAAGTGGAGTGCGCATTCCAAACGCGGTGGTGATTGTATTTTCATATGCAGGTGAAAGCCAATATTTCCGTTAATGTGCATTTAGAAGTGCAACTGTTCGGAGTTATTTTGAACGTCGTCGCACCGAGGAATTAATCAGTTAACAATGACAACGTTAAACAAAGATCTACAACGTGAACGTGAAAGATGTACTTTCGATCCTCTTGAACTGACACATTACTTCGATGGTAGTGCGGAGAAGACAGCACTACGACGGGAAAGAGGTATTTTAGGATTTGATTAAAGGCGAAAACTTTCTGAATAAGTCTTAAACTTTCATTCAGTACATTTCTACTTGTGTTTGCTCAATTGCAACTTTCTCTTGAGGCAGTGAAACAGATGACAAATACTCATATATCATGTTAATCTTCTCTAATTGTAAGATGGCAAAAGATATGATAGTGTTTTACATTGTACATCTATAGAAGTATACATCTTATCAGTTTTATTCACGATAAATCAAAATTTTTTATTGAATATCACTGAGGAAAATACAAAATTGATCGATAACGTTTTTCATTTTAAGCAATGCTGTTAGAGTTATGTAAAATTCTAGGATTCGAAAAACAGTATAGTTTTAAATTGTCGGATCTACGAGGTCATCTTGACGTATGCAGTCTTGTTGTAATGAAAAATGTGTTACTCAAGGAAGACATTAATTCGTAGATTAGAAGCGCAATATCTTTGATTACTCATGAGACTTCTTTTTTTTTTCTGTAATAACATTCATATTATAATGAGTCAGGAATAATATTATATCTCACATTTACCGTATACGATGACATGCATGAAATTTGGCGGCAATTAATTGAATTATGAACAGAATATAAGTACGGTAGATTCGCAGTAATTTTTAAAATTTATTTTTAAGATAGTATTTCAATTCCTAATTACATTATATTTCATCTAATAATGATGTACACGTGCTATTGTTTCATACTGATCAAGTGGATATAATTATTGATTAATCATTTTTTTTATTCACAACGAACTAATTGAGTATCATGTCACCATGTCAATTGCATATGCATATGCATCCAACGTAGTAGTTCTCACATTCGGAGTGCTCATTTGACTTAATACTGATATGGTATATTACCTATAATTTACATTACACACTTGGCAAAGAGACACTTGCGCTATAATTACTGTTTGTAATTGGATTGCAGAGGAATATTTCCTTAGTGATCCTGACCTGCAAGATGACCTATCGGCCAAGTACAAAAGTCATAAGGAAGTTTATGAGGATGCTGTGCGTAAGGGTTGCATAGTCCTCAAAAAAGTGCAGGATCTTCAAGATAGCGGAAGAGGCAGCATGGATCTATTTTCGTAAGGATCGATATAAAAATTTTCTTTAATTGAGCATAGTGTAGTTCTCTTAGTATATAGGCATTATGAACATTTTATTTGTTTTTAGAGAGGTTCTGGGTGGGATGCTGGGTTCAGCTATTTTAAGGGATGGAAATCCTTTAACGTTACATTATGTAATGTTCATTCCTGCCATAATGGGCCAAGGTACTGTTGAGCAACAAGGTTATTGGATTTCCCGAGCCTGGACCTGTTCTATTATTGGAACTTATGCCCAGGTGAATAATTCTAAATTGTATTTAACAAATCCTTTATGCTAATACATTTCAGTAATTATTTCTAAATTATGTTCAATTTCTCAGACGGAACTTGGTCACGGAACCTTTATCAGAGGCTTAGAAACAACAGCAACGTATGATCCATCAACGAAAGAGTTTATTTTGAATAGCCCTACGTTAACTTCTTACAAATGGTGGCCAGGCGGCTGTGAGTAATATAAATTCGTGCGATTAAACATAATACATAACTAATAGCATTCACTTTATACTATTTAATATACATTTTATTATCAGTGGGTCACACGGCAAATTATGCAGTGGTTGTGGCTCAGTTATATACAAATGGAGAGTGCAAAGGGATTCATCCATTCATTGTACAACTCAGGGATGAAAACACTCACGAGCCTCTACCAGGTAGTTAAAATTTGTTATTCCTATTATTACATGCCAATCGCTGTAATGCGTTTCACTTCGTTGTTATCCTTGGAGTTCCACGTGACAATACAAGTTCACAACTTGTACAATATGCGATCCATGCTACGGCTAAGATTTGTTACTTGTCCATTGGTAAAACAAAATAGAGTAAGTATTTACTCGTACACCAGGATATTTACATAGCCCAGTGTATATTATTAATGAAAGAAAATCAAGCAGCGAATTTTCATTACTGTATCTGTCAACATTGAAATTCTTTTCTCTCTCAGGGATACAGATTGGGGAGATTGGTACGAAGTTAGGAATGAATGCAACGAACAATGGCTTTCTTGGCTTCAAGAGTGTCAGGATACCGAGGGAGCACATGTTGATGAAAAATTCACAGGTGCTTATTCAAACCGAGATAATGTTAATTCCTCTGACAAGCTAGTCGATAATCATTATTGATGATTCTAGGTACTGGAGGATGGAACTTACGTAAAAGCACCAAGCGATAAATTGACGTACGGTACAATGATGTTTGTACGTGTTGTTTTAGTGCGTGACATAGCTAGGTATCTGTCAAAGGCGGTTACAATAGCCGTGAGATACAGTGCTGTCAGACGTCAAAGCCAGATAAAAACGAAGTAAGGCAAATCATCGACTAGATGATTACTAGATCTTGTCACATAAAACGAATAGTCATTCGTATATCCGTCATCATCACATAACAATTCAATCATCTGTTATGACCACAAAAAGAGAAGCACATGAGCTTATACGCATAATATAAAATTTTCAGCGAGCCAGAATCCCAAATTATGGATTACATGACGCAGCAGCATAAGCTATTTCCAAATTTGGCAGCAGTCTTTGCCTTTACCTTGTCTGCTGCTTGGATTTGGGAAATGTACAACAACGTTACAGCGGAGCTCGAGGAAGGGGATTTAGATAAATTACCGGAAGTATGTTTTCTATTTGGAATGAAACTAGTCGTACAATATTCCACATTCGATTCTACCTAGAATGAATGTTTATTTTTTAGTTACACGCTTTATCCTGCTGTCTTAAAGCAGTAGCATCGTCCGATTCAGCTACCGGAATAGAACAAGTTCGTTTGGCTTGTGGCGGTCATGGTTATATGGATGCAAGTAATTTGCCAGGAACTTATGGCCTCGTGACCGCTACCTGCACTTACGAGGGCGAAAACACTGTCATGCTACTGCAAACAGCCAGGTACTTGGTGAAGACTTGGAGACAAGCCATCAATGGGGAACCTCTGCCACCTACGGTTAAATATTTTGCCAATGCTGCACGAGGAGTCAAACAGCGACCTTGGAAGAATACATTGACCTGCATTGTCTGTGCTCACCAGGCGGTGGCTGCAGGGTGAGCAAATCAAACTGATCATCCCACATTCGGTAACTGATATTTAATGATATCTATCACTGTACAGTAAAATTCGTTTGGCTACCGAGAATATGGATAGAAGAATACGTAGTGGCATGTCCCAAGAAGACGCATGGAATCATACCAGTATTGAATTAGCTCAAGCTGCCGAAGCTCATTGTCGAGGCTTCATCGTCATGAGGTTTACAGAATCCGTTAAGAGCCTTAACACAGTTTCCAAAGAACTACACGCGGTGCTTGTACAGCTCTGTGAAGTTTATGCAATTTACTGGGTCTTGCAGCGAGTCGGTGATTTTCTCAGGGTAAGTAGAGAGATGACTCGTTCAGATTTAAAATCTTTAATTCCCTCAAGGAATATCGAAGCATCTTTCAATTGGTCCATTCTCAGATCTGTCTGTATGAACTATTGTCCTTTCATCCCAACAGTTCTCCTGTTTGAACGCCGAAGACGTCCCGTCCTTACAGAAGTGTCTCGAGGAGGCGCTTTTGGCTATACGTCCAAACGCCGTTGGTATAGTCGACGGTTTTGATATCCGCGATGAAATTTTAGCGTCCGCCCTAGGTGCTTACGACGGAAATGTTTATCAGAGACTCTTCGACGAGGCCATGAAGAGTCCTCTGAATCAGGAGAGTGTTAATAAATCCTTCCAGCAATATCTTAAGCCTTTCCTCAAGAGTAATTTATAGTTATGATACTCTGAAGCATAATCAATAGGCGTGCAGAGGTACAGCATGCATATTGATTCAATTAATTAGTGACGTTATTGCGATATTATTTTTTTTATCGATTTAATCGAATTGTTAAGCTCTTTATTGTGTTTTTAATGAAAATACCATGACGCGATATTATCTAATAATTCTCTATTATTGATAATGCGATGCGGCATGACAGCTGAGCTGTTAGTCTGTATTCGATTGCGGCGTTGTTAAATTTACTATTTTTGATAAAAAATAATATAAAGATATCTATTGAAACGTATAGAAGTTGTAGAGGTGAAAGGAACTGATGCATCACATGTTATTTATACGAAGCATAGAACTATTAATAGATAAGCACGATTGACATTCCATGTCATATATTGCGTGAGACGATTTTATCTGTATACGCGTTTACGAATACAGAATGCGCGACAATCTAACAATTATTTTATATGAACATTTACGAATACAGAATGCGCGGCAATCTAGCAGTTATTTTATATAAACTTTTGAATGAAAACAAAAAGGTCATTAAGCCGAAGTATTAATTGCATTAAGGATTTTGGTGATTGCAGGCTTTTTATATCGGTAATAATTCATCCTTGAATAAATCACGTATCAAGTAAAAGGGATACTTCTCAATATATCTTATACGGTACAGTGTTTATTTACAGAATAGGATCGACGACATACATTATTATTTGTTATACTAATATAGTGCAATTATTATTAATTCTTGTTAATTAATAATAACGAGTCGTTGCCGTATCCGCGTACGAGAATAGCAATAAACGATTTAACGTCCGCGTGAAAGTGTCAAAGGACGTCGAGATTTTACGTGACGATCGTTAATAACGATCGAGGGAGAGGAAAGATGAAAATTTGCGAGTGGCGCCAAAAATAAATAGCTGAAAGAAAGAGAGGCGAGAGAACGTTAAATTAGAAAAATTGCAATTCTCGCGCGCGTTGGCATTAACATACGTATATACGTATATACATACGTATTCGCGTGTTTCATGTGTCCTCTGTGTGTATATATATACACATATATACGTATACGCTATGTAAACCGATACTTACACTTAGAAAATAATATTGTTAATTATTGTTATAATTAAATATTATCGTAATCGTTTAAAATTATTATTTATTCGTCCACCTTGGCCTAATAGTCGTCTAGCAGACACTCTTTAATCGCTATAGTATTATGGAATTACACCCTCTTATAAAATATGATTTCATTACAATTATTTTATTTATTTTTTCTTCTTCCGCTTAGAACGTAGACAGTGTCTTTTTTTCTTGAGTATTAATAAGCCACGTGGGGAAGCGGATGAATGCGTTTCTTTGCTCGTATTCTTTTTTTCTTCTTCTTTCGTCAAACTCACAATTCTCTGCCTTACGATTTATTCTGTTATCATTAATTCCTCTTCAGTTTTGTTATCGTCTTTCGACACGTGGCTCGCGGTTCCTCGATCCACACCAGCTGCCAGAAATCGGTTCTCGTCGGCACGCGGTTTACTGTCTAAATAAATATAGTATATTGGCCAATGACGATACACCTAAGACAATAGTAATTTATTTTTAAAAATTCTTACAGCGCAAAAAGACTCCGCAAATTCTTATGCGCACTCGACTTGCGCACTCGAATTTGTCACTCATAGCACGTACGAGATACCGATGACCGTAGGGCTATATCGCGGCGTTTTGATCCCACATGGACAATTAATTACTATCTAATTAAATCTGTCTATCTCGTTACAAATTATCCAAGATTACAATCCAGTTCCAGGTTCCACTTTTATGTTCTGCTCAAAAGGCGAAGGGTGTCAAAGGTTACCTCGCGGGCATGGAGGGATTTCACGACGAGGTGTGTGTAATTGCGTCGGTGTTTCGTATATATAATGTGTATGAACAAAGGTTGGATGGCGAGTGTAAAAAAAAAACAAAAAAAAAATTTTCAGGAAGAAGATGGCCTAAGAGAAGAAAAATAGGAGTAAGGGGGTAGTGAACGG